AAAAATAATTAAAAAAAAAAAAAAAAAAATAGTAGAAAAATCATACAAAATGAGAGAGAGAGAGAGAGAGAGAGAGAGAGAGAGATAAATGAATGAATTTTATTCGCTCGTGATTTATTCCTAAGTACATATATACATACACATACATACATATATACATACTTACTTGCATAATTACGTGCGTGCATTACATACATATACATATACTACATACAAACATGCATATATACATATACATAAATACAAACATATCTACGTGTATTTATCAGTGATATGTGATCTCTTGTCCAAGCACGTTATTATCATTATTATCATTATTATTGTGATATATAAATTGAATTCGACTAATTAACTTTAAGTAATCGTAAAAGAGTGTGTGTTGGTGTCTCATCTATCTCATACGTTAACCTAACTTTTCCTTTTTTAAATCCTTACTCTCTCCGTAATTTTTTTTTTCTTTTTTACTATATATATATATATAATATTTTTATATAATAATTATTATTATTTAATTATTACTATTATTATTATTCATATTAATAATTATTACGAGAGAAAAAAAAAATAAGAGGTACCTACGTTATAAATGAGATAATTATTTAAATATATAATTTTTGTATTTTATTGTATCATTTATTTATTTATTTATTATTATTATTATTATTATTATTATTATTATTAGTATTATTATAATTATTATTTTTATTATTACTATTATTATTTTGTATCATAACACATTAATATAGTGTGTATCATAGATTATTTCACAATCGTATTTCATCATAATCTTCAAGTATACAAAATATTAATTGAAAAGATAAAAATGAATGAAGAAAATGAACAATCCAATGAAAATTGTTACGAAAGATGTAAACAAAATTGCGTTAATTTATTGCTGTTGTTGCTCGTAGTATTATTCTTCTCAATTTTTACGTTCAACTTTTTTCTCGATTAATTTCGATGAAATTTGTGATTCCTGGGCCAGTTCCATCTTTAACTTTTTTGATCGTCCTGTTAACAAACAAACAAAACAAACAAACAATTCCCGAAATGTTACGAAACATTTTTTATTTCTATTCGAAATAGTAGTAATAGTAGTAATAATATTTAAACGTAATTTATANAAAAAAAAAAAAAAAAAAAAAAAACAGAATAAACCTATCCGTTTTTGTGTTCTCTTTCTATACACCTCCTTGCCTACAACCTTTTCGTTCCTTTCACTACTTTTCTCGAAATCATTTTTTCTACGAGATAACATAAATATATATATTACTCTTTCTTACTAAGAATCTTTTTTCTAATTTTTATATTTTTATATATATATATTGCATGTGATCTGACAACATTGTTTTTTTCTCTATCTGTTGGATCATATTTTTTATTTTATTTTATTGTTCCTATTTGTTTCTTCTATTTTTTTTTTTTGCTATTTTTAATTTCAATTACAATTCTTTATCATCGCTAAAAAATCTATTTCCTAATTCATACTCTCGTTTTCGCTCTAACATATTTTATTCTTTTAAAAAAAATCAAACAAACAAACAAACAAATAAAAAACAGGAAAAGAAAATGGATAAACATTTTTCTTTTTCTTTTCATTTATTCATTTATTTATTTATTTATTTATTTATTTATTTATTCGTATATGTAATATTTTTAATTCCGCCCAACTTAACGCGCTTAAAACTAGCACAATTAATTAATTTTTTTTTTTTTTTTTTTCTTATAAAACATTTAAGTTAAGTTTATTTTTACAAGAACGTTCGAACTATCGACGTTTGAAATTTCGCGCGTGCGCACAACAGGAGAGACGCGTTGCGCGGGGAATTTAAAATGTGCCGCGAAAGACTGAAAAAAAAACAAATAAACACCCACACACACACATTGAAAATGGAATTAGAGAAAAACAACTATATATATAAATATAATTAATTAACACAAGTTAGAAAAAAAAAGAAAACAAAGAAAATAAATAAGTGAAAGAAAGGTAAAGAGGAAAACGTGTGTAAAAAGGAAATTTAAAAAAAAGTGAATTGGGCCTCAGCTTCGGCAATTAATTCTTCCCGTGCTATTATTATACTAAACTTATATTATTAATATTTAGATTTAAGTTTATATGTGGACATATGTATTTATATTTTCTCTCTCTCTATTTATACATATATATATAGATATATTTATCTATATACGCTTCTTGTGCCGTGCTGAGGTGATATTTCGCGATTAAAGAAAAAATAGAGAGAAAATAAAAATGAGAGAGAACTAAGAAAAATAAAAAAAAAAATAAAATAAAAAAATAATTCTTCTTGCGCACAAGTTCGCCCAAAACAATCGTTAAGAATCGTGCCTAGATGTTTAAAACACGTATTCTATGGGATCAACGTCGTCGTTACCTTTTTAACGTTGGATTAGAACAAAATTGACAGAGAAAAATAAAATTGTGTGAAAGAAAGTAAGAAAGAAAGAAAGAAAGAAAGAAAGAGTGAGAGTGAGAGAGAGTGAGAGAGATAGAGAGAGAGAGAGTAAGAAAGAAAGAAAGTGAAAAAATAGAAAGAAAAATGTAAGAAATTTGAAAAATGATAAACAAAATGCTGAAGAAAGATACATCGACCTATTTTTTTTTTTTTTTGAATTAAATTATTTTTTTTTTTTTATTTAACTCACCCTAATTAACTATATAAATTATATATTTTACGAAATTATATATATTATTTATATATTATATTAATATATATAAATATAATAATAATTGGTTTTTTAATTATTAAATAATAATATAAACATAATTTAATATATATATATATATTATTGTTTTTATTATGTATTATATATATATATTATATACATACATAAATTATATGATTGAATTTATATTTTATCAAAAGAATAATATTATTTTTTATGGGTGCAATTAAAGGGGTTATTAAAAAAAAAATTTGAATAGAAAATGTGAAGTAATCATTCAAATACGTGACAAAGTTTATGATAACCCATTTGGTATCCGTAAAGTGTTAATAAAGGTGGGCCGGGTCGATGGTGTCTTTCTTTGTATTATCTCTGTCGAGGTTTGATCATTATCCACTTATAATGTCAGCCATAGTCCGCATACCTAAGTCCTACTTACTAGTTGCACTCTATAATTTCGTATTCTATTTATCACGTTCTACTTAATATATATATATATATACATATACATATACATAATATATATATGTATATATTACGAATAGTTCTACGTTTTATCTGTACTCTCAATAAATACATAGGAGACATATAAACAAACCCACACAGACACATACATACATATATAGATACATTTCAATGTACATACGTGTTACAACACACGTACTATTACCCTATCCTTTTCTAATTCTATTCAACATCAATCGAACCCTATAAAATAATCTTTCTTCGTGAAGATGGAACACTAAAATTTGGATGAAAAAATTTTAGAAAATTAGTAAACAAGTGAAAAAAAAAAAAAAAAGAATTTCAAATTATACAAAACGAGATTTAATTCAATTCTCGATAGTCGCCACTCTCTCTGTGATATTTCATAGATTGCTTTATTTTTTCTTTTAATTTTTTATTTCATTGACGGGAACGAAATGAACGAAAGAAGAAAATAAAAAAAATAAAAATAAAATAAATATTCAATCGGATTCCTCTTTTCGTATTATTTTAACACTTATCACGCGATATATACATACATATATATATATATTTTTGTTAAATTAAAAAAGTTTTATAAATAATCACATTTTCCCGTCATTATTGTGCCGTGACAATCAAGCGACTTTTTACACACTCTTCGTATTTAATGTAGAACAACAACAACAAGAAGAAAAACAACTACAACAACAACATCATCAAATACAACAACAACAACAACAACAAAATAATAAGAACAAAAATATGTTCAGTAATCGATACTCATCCCTCATTAAATCTCTGTGTAAACTTTTTTTTTTATTCTTTATAGTACTCACAATTAATTAATTAATTAATAAATACTATTAATTAATTAATTAATTAATAGTAAAACATTCTATGATATAAAAATTCATGACAACATGTTTTCTTTATTTAGATAATTAGCATATATATATAAATATAAATATATATATCTTATTCTTATTGAATTTATTAAGAACAAAATAGCCATAGGAAAAAAAGGGCCTATTGTTTATTTGCTATTAATATAATATTTGAAATATATAAACGGGGCACTGACGACGTTACAATAATAATTAAAAAAAAAAAATGCTCATTCTTCTTTCATATTGTGTTAGAGACGAACGTTCAGCCCCTACCCCTGTAGAATGTTTACCCTTTCTACACGTATGCATGTTATTACTATCTCTCTGTATACATACATATATATATATATATATATTTAAAGAACAAAAAAAATGAAATAATGAAAAAGTAACACATACAAACAAAAATGAAATCTTGTATACGTGTATTTTTCATATAAAAAAAAAAGAAAAAAACAATTTTCTATTTTAAAAACTTTTAAACAACACAAAAAAAGATATGCATTTAATGTTTAATTAATTTTATATAGAATCAATCGATCGATCGATTTCTATCATTTTTTATCARTCGATAAATAAGTTTAGTTTAAATATAATTTGATTATTATAATTATATATAAATATATATATATATATATTTGCCCCGACGCGTATAAAATTTGAAAAGACCGCCCTGTAATCAATCGATAATTGATATCGATATAAATAATACATATACATTACATAAATAAATAAATAAATAAATAAATAAATATAAAAAGCGTGTATATCTCGTGCAACGGCAGTGGGCAAAATGAAAGGAAAAAAAAAATAAAAGAAAAAGTTTCTCAAGGCCATGAATTAATATTCAACAATCTAACAAAAAATCTCGTATATTAATAATAATAATAATAATAATAATAATAATAATAATAATAATAATAATAATAATAATAATAATAATAATAATAATAATAATATTAATAAGTAAAAAAAGATAAATAAATAAAATGAAATAGAAAGAAAGTAAGTGTGGAGAAGAATAAAAAAAAAAAAGAATAAAAATAAAAAGAAGAAGAAGAAGAAGAGGAAGGATAAAATTGACGCTCAATGTTTAATTAAAAAAATAAAAAATAAAAAAAATAATCTTATAATTATATATATTTATCGAATAGAACAAATAGTATTGAATCTAACAACGTTCGTTCATTCACGTTCGTTCGTTTATTCTCTAATTGACAATCGAATTGAAAGAAAAAAAAAATTAATGATGACGATAATTATGATGATGATGATGATGATGATGATGATGATGATGAAGAAAAAGAAAAAGAAGAAGAAGAAAAAAAGAATGATCGAAATTTTCTCCTCGTACGATATTTTACAAATAATAAAAATCAACACAAAAATGAAACACATTTAAATATTGTGTACGAAAAGAAATTGATCATTCTCTTTTTTTTTTTTTTTTAATTTAAATTGAAAAAAAAAAAACTAAACAAGTGTAACGCAAAAGAAAAATACACGTAGAATAAAGAAAAACTGATAGAAAGAAAAAAAAACGTTAAATAAACAAACAAAAAAACAACAACAACAAGAAATATCGAGGTAGAGAAAAACGATTAAAATGTACTTTTGATATTTCGATGCACATGAGAGAACAATTTATCATAAACAAATGTGTGTGTTTCGAAAGTATTCAAAAATTGTACTAACTCGAAATCTTTTCTCATAGTTTTAAAAAATAAATAAGAAAAATAAAACAGGAAAAAATAAAAATAAAGAAGAAAACACAAGTTATTACTAATAATAACAACATTAATAATAATAATAATAATAATAATAATAATAATAATAATAATAATAATAATAATAATAATAATAATAATAATATATTAATA